AAAAAAAAAAAAAAAAAAAAAAAAAATATATATATATATATACACACAAAAATACAGATATATGATTAATGGAACGGAATTTGTTATATGCTGTGCAATAAAATTCAGTGTGCAAAAGCAAAAAAGAATTAAAAAAATATTCGTCTATTTTCTAAAGTTAAAAATTTATGTCGCACTAACTCAGGTTAATAATCATACGTCAAGTGAGACATCAAGTTACCTTTTTTCTCTTGGCCATTTTACTTTGGTGTATCTCCAACAGAGACTTCTCGTGCTTGCTACTCTTGTCCGTCTCCTTGTGACGTTCTTTTGCGCGTCTCCTGTTCGATTCTTCCGTACTGCTAAGTCTTCTCGCTTCCTGCGTAGAAAATATCGCAAATTCAATATTTAATATCGTCTGAATTGTGAATAAATGAATGTGACATGCTGAAAGTGAATATGTGTTAGCCCAAGAAATCCAAATCTCGAAGTTCCTATCTTTTTATGGTATGGTAACTTAATTTTTATATACTACAAATAAATTCTCTTATCTTTTGAGAATTATCATTAATTAAATTATTAGTTTTACTGCACTACAATATCTGTGTGTGTAACTCTTACAGGCACTATTTTAAGTTTGATCTTATCTTTTTAATTTTGATATAGTCTTTTCCGGGACAAGACATGTCCACTATGCTGAATCGCCAATATATCTACAACGAACTTACCGATTCTCTTTGCTTCTGAGCTTTTTGCGCGGGTGTGTCGGTCCAACACGACCTGTCCGACATATCCGGACCATCTCTGACCCGGAACTTGCGTGGGCCCAATCCAAGATTGGCAGCCTGCGCTGGCGGTAACTCGGTCATCCATTCCTCGCGTTTGTTACCGACATCAACCTAAAACATAAACGTTTGCTTTTCTTCGTCTGAGGAAAATTCCTTTTGGACTTAATAAAAAACTCCTTCTCATTTCTTTCTCCTTTGTCTCTTGTCCAGATCGTCTAAAACAAGAGTATCATAGGGTTTGACGTTTATGTATAAATCATGTTCTACGATTACATGTAGACAACGTAAGTTTTGTATGAGATGTCATGAGACAATGAGTAATCTACGGATGTCACTTAAAGAACGTGTAGCTTGAAAATTAATAAAGAAAAATTTATAATTTTATTGGTTAATAATAACCAATAATCAAAAGATTATATGATAACTTTTATCCTGATATAACCTGTGAACGTTGTTTCCTAAACAAATTAGAGTCCACAGGGAATCCTCTAGTTACATTCCTTCTATCACTTTAAAATTAAATCTACAGGTTTATCATATAATGAAATGCAAATTTCACGCAATTTGTTATTTGTTTTAAACATTACATTTATCATTAATATATTTATCATTAAAACAGACATGGCAACTGTCTCATATAATTTAATGATTTTTTTCTCAATATTTAAATATAATTTACGATCTTCTACATAGTTCATATTGTCTACATGAAAAAGACTCATACATACATCGCGTAGACAGTACGCAAGTAATCCGCGCGTATCTTTTCATTACCTCTTCGGAGTAGCCCTCATGCCTGATTCTATGCGCTCTCAGATCTAGTTGCTCATACACGCGGCTGTTCCTCAGAGCCGGATGATCCGCGGGCAATGGTCCTATCGCGTGCTCATCGTCATCGTCGGATCCTACAGGGAGAGCTTCGCGCGATGCTTTCTTCACGGTGTCAGGCAGTACAGGTCCGATGAACTTGTCTCGCCGCGACTCGTTGTCGCGCATTCGTTGTAACAAATGCGGTGGCAGTGCCGGCCCGAAGGCCGCTTCTTCCGGCGTATCGTGCTCCGCGACTCCTCGCTCTCTCCGGTCGTTTGCTCGTGACTCGACGATACTCCTCGTCTCATCGCTCGACGGCAAGCAAGGCCCGATGAGGCGCACCGTCCTCTCGCCGTTGTCCACGCCGCCGTCGTCGTGGATCGACGTCACTTTCCTTCGCGACGCGCGGCTACTGTCGAGATGCCTCGACGTCTTGAATGCCTCATCGACAAACGTATTAGAACGTATGATTTCCGACATCAAAATCGGATAGTACTCAGACATCCGGTCCACAGCCGAGGCGTGCCGCGAATGTCTCTCTCTCGAAACCGAACGCTCCGCGTCGTTGCTGTTGTAAGCGAGCGCTGTTTTCTCCTCTTCACGGTCCCCGGATTTTTCTCTCACGGGATCCACGCGCGCGTCTCTCGTTTTCACGGAGCTCGTCGCGAACGAGACTAGTGAAGGATCTGAAACGGCACTAGGATTATTATTACTCGAGCCGGACACCGGGCCGTCGTTGTCCTTGTCGCTATCATCGTCCATCGTTTTTACCTTGCGCCCATGCCGTTGCTCTGTTCGCGCTCGTTTCTCCGGCGGCTCACGACTCTCGGACTGATCTTCGCTGAAGTCGTGCTCGCGCGTCGGCTCACGGTGGCGCAAGGACAACGTACGGCATCGCGAGTCCGGGCCGTCGGACGTGTTCTCATCAGTCTCCGACAGCACGTCGAACTGCGACAGGTCCAGCTCCTTGCAGTCTGGAGCGTCCAACGACGACTCCTTTCTCGTATCCGCGAGGTGCACGAGCGTCGAGCGGCTCTCGGAGCTGTGGCTACGCGCGCGTTCCACGCTTTTCGGCGACGAGTGATCTCTCGAGTTCTGCGATCTGTTCTCCTTCACCGCCAACTTTCTGCTGGAGTCCGGTTTGCTGTGGTCCTCTCGAGATCGGTCGCCGCTTGAGGATTTCACCTTGGTCGACTGATAAGAACGCTCCCGACTCCTGTCCCGAGAACGATGTTTGTGCCTTTCGCGGCACCGGTTCCGGTGTTTGTCGCCTGAACCCCGCAACTCATCGTGGTTCTTCTCATACGAGTGTTCTCGCGACCGTTGCGCCCGATGAACGCTCCAGTCCCTGTCCGACTGGCGTTTTGAGTCCCGCGATCTCTCCCGCGTGTCACCGCCGCCGCTGGAGTGCCTGGAGCCGCGGTCGCTGGCGGCCGACGCGTCTCTGATGTCCCGGTGGTCCTTGTGCGAGTTCTTGCTTCCGTCCTCTTGTCGCGAGCTGCTCCAGGACTCGTGCTTGGTGTGCTTGATCAAGTGCCTGAGGTCCTTGTCGTCAGTCTTCCTGGCGCTGTCATACTTAGAGCGTTCTTTCCGCTCGCGGTAATGCCTATTGCTGTCGTCACAGCGCGACGACTTGTGCTTCGACTTCTTCTTCGGCGACCTGATCCTGCTCGTCGTATCCACGGGCGCAGCCGGGTCCTTGCGCGTGGTCTCGAAGCGAAAGCGCCGGCCCTCATCGCTGTCTTGGCTTTCGGAGTCGGAGTCCATTGGTGTCATAATCCAAGTGGCCGCTGAAAATATGATAATTGTGAGTCGATTCTTCAATGAACTTACACTGAAAAAAAAAGCACTCGAAAATTTATTTGCGGGATATAAAGTTCGCGGAAATCAACTTTATACGCCGTAAGTAAATCTTCAAATATTATTCAAATATTGTCGATATAGACATATTTTCGATGAGTGCACTGAGAAAAAAATACTTGAAAATTTATCTATAGGATATGAAGTTTATTTCTGCACGCGAATTGAAATAAACTTCAAAAAAATAAATTCAATTGAAGTTTATAAACGAGGTAAGCTTTTATTTCGCAAATAAATTTTCAACTATTTCTTTCTCAATAAACCACGTAACTCGTACGTACATTGAGAAGATAAAAAAGAGAAATTGAGAAGAAAATATTTGAAAATTTATTTGCGAGATATAAAGTTGTTTTACTTCTGTGGAATATAAAGCTTATTTCTGAGTAAATTTTGTATCTCACAAATGGATTTTCAAGTATTTTTTCTCAATGTATCTCCCCCCAACTTCTAAGATACCGGATAATGTAGTCTCACAAGTGTTTAACGTGTTAAACGCTCCCTGAATTTGAAGCGAGATTGCCCCGCGAAAAAAAAAGAATGAGTCTAATCATCACGAATGACTCTGTGAGCGAATCAAAGAGACATCGAGTTACACCCTTAGGACAAACTATACACTTTATTTATATAATACAAGCATACGGGAATTTACATATATAAATATATCGTGATTAAATTATTTCAAAAGAGAACGACGGTACAACTACTCGACGCGCTTTTCCGCCTCTTTCGTCTCTGTCTTCTTTACGACCGCCTGAACGATCTTATCGATCTGGCTGTGGTCCGGCTTGGGCAGCGTGTGCTTGCTGTCGGAGACGTTCGACGTTAACATCTTAATGATCTTGGCGCCGCTGTACTTAACGGATTTCATCAGGCCCGCTGTCACGATCCCCTTGAGACTCTGCGTCACGCTGGACCGCCAGACAATGTCTTTCAGGCACTGCTCCAGTATCTCGCAGCACTCCGGGTCGTGCGCGATGGCCCGCAGACAATCCTCCGTGTCTCTTGATCGCGGACCGTGAGACCATGCCCGAACCAGTCTGATTTGCGGCGTTCGCGGCAAGTGATTGAGATGATGGATCTTGGTGGCCGGGCTAGTGTCCTGGTGACATGTGATCGCCATGTTGTCTGACAAGGGTATGTCCACATAGTTGTCGAAGTGCTTCAGCACTGGCTCGTACAGCTGCTTGAAGTGTTGCAGCTGCGGCAGCACGATATTGTTGATCTTCTGCTTGTTTTCGCCGAAAATCATCCGGAAGTCGCCGTGGTAAGACAGCCCGGTGATCTTCCGGAAGAAGTCGATCTCAGTGAAGTGCTCGGGCAGCAGCAGCAGAGCAGCATGCACAGCTGAGTGGAGGTTCTGCACTAGAGCAGTGCGCAGCTGGGAGCTCTCATCAGGCTCCACCAGCACTCTCACGGGCTTGTGCAGTCGTCCTGAGAGATACAGATTATTCCAATCCAAGAGATCCTCCACCAGCGATATCTCAGATATCACTCCGTATTTGATGAGCTGCCCTTGACTGGTCCTGATCAGAGTATTGTAATATATATTGGCACCTGATCCCTCTTGAACTTTAGTGATCACTTTGTGGCCAAGGAACCTCAAGGGCTGGGCGTAATGTTTGGGGTTTCTCTGCAGATTCTCAGCGTGCCATTTGTTGGAGTTGCGCACAACAAATATGAGATCCAGCATATTCTCATGATTGTTGTTAGCCTGCTTAAACACACCCGAGCCATAGGCAAAGCAAAACTTTATGCTCTTAGGAAATTCTCGAAGGAGATGTCTCAGTGGAGACATATCAGCAATGGTTGCGAGCATTTCGGATCGCTCACGTGTCTCTGATTCCGTTCCGCTGTTTTATCAACAGGTGCCCTTAGTTGCGCATGATATCTATCTCCAGATTTTTAATTTCGACTCGAACGCGTGGGAGGACTCGCTTTGCTGAAAGACGCTCTACAATCGTAAGAGTACAGTTGCGGTTCGCACCATGAGGAAGCTCGAGGACTCGCGACGTAACCGTGAACGGCGTGCGGAGGGCGATCGGCGAGCCACGAGAGCCTTCACATGCGTCCCTCGTCGACGTGGAGTCTCCGTGCGATGACTCACGACCGACTTTGCGCCGGCGAGATCACGAATCGCCACCGCGACCGACGACCGCGCGCTCCCCCGAACCTAACCTAGAAACGTAGTTCGTAAGTGTGTCGCTCTCTCGAGTTTTACTTACTTGAGGAAAGGGAGGTGATTTCTTTTCGTGTCGGCGAGAGAAATATCAATTGTCGAGCTCGATGCCAGAGCGAGATGCGAGTCACGACCGGACGAAACGCGCAAGTGTGAAATCGCACGATCAGCTAACGTTTACGTGTGCGTCCATCGGCATTATGTGCCTCAGTCACACGAAAATAAAAATTATACGCGCTAACCCATTCTTACCTCAACGATTCGCTGACTCGTTCTCGAATGCATTCACAGCCGCTCTTGCGCAGTCTAGGGAAAAATGTCCTCGGTCGCCAATGTAAAATACGCCGAATGTTTCGCAGAAAGAAAATTAAATGACTATGTTAAGTTGGATTCATGACGAAACGAAATAACTGATGTCTCTCTCGATGACACGCGGTGTAGCTTTGTGAACTTTCTAGACGATTCGAGATAATTTTAGGACTAAACATGAAACAATGAAAGCTCTCGTCGAAAGAAATACTAGTGTAAACTATCATGGCAGTTTGGTTAGGCGACAGTTTCCCGAAAAAATGGAGGGGATAATATTGGTACCAAGGAAAATCTCTACACGATATAGGATATTTCCGATAATACCTCTCCGAGTCATTTTCCTAGAGCAGAAATAAGTTACAGACATCACCATCTACTACTATTATGTGATTCATGACAACCCAAAGCTACCCAATACTGTCTTATGGCTCCTGCACACAGAACGCGGTAATGCTTGCCACGCAGCGGAAGTCCGCGCGACAGCCAATCAATATATTGTTTTTCCGTAAGAACTAGAAGGTTATTACGGAAAGCAGCATATTGATTGGCTGTCGCGCGAACTTTCGCTGCGCGGCAAACATTACCGCGTTCTGTGTGCAGGAGCCATTAGGCAGAACAATACCGTGACAATTACACGAAATAATAATTTTGTAAAATTGTATTATTGATTATAAAATCATCTGGTGTTGTTTTCTAATAAAATTTTATTCTTAATTAAAGAGTTATATAATCATTAAAATATATATTATATTTTTCAAATATTATCCTAAAGTAAAAAGTCACATTGTTTTAACCTATTTGCAAGTATTGTTTTTACATGACTCGTGCATGTGCAAGTCCACAATGAATTATGCCATTAAGCGGGGAGCACACACTCTTGCATAAAAGCATAATGCACAACGCATAAGAAAATTGACCAATCAGAATTCTCATTTCTATTGCCATAATGAAAATGAAAGACTGGTCTATTTTCTCATGCGTTGTGCATTATGTCTTTATAGAAGAATATATGGGTGTTACGTGTAGCAATCGGATTTCCAATCGGATTGATATAATCGCAGTGATGTAAATTGTCTAGACAGAAAGTTCCCTAGGCTAATCGGATTACCAAATCATGTCCGTGAGGGACGGATCAGATTAGCGGATGCAGAGAAACGTTGCGTACATACTTATGTCTCTTAAGAAATAAATATTAAGAAGTAAATAGAAAAGTAAGTATGTGCATTGTTATTTTCATTATAATTAACGTGTATTCTTCTCCGGATGTATATAGATAAATAAAGATTTATTTCTATTTTACTGATATGTGTATATTAAAGAAATAAATACATCTTAACCTAAATGTGCTTCAGTTGTTAACATACAAGTTTATTAAAATATAAAATATTTTAAGAGTTAAGGAATTATGGAAATGAATGAG